TGTTGGGACACATTTCCAAGCTCTATTTGTTGCTAACGTAAGGGAGAATGAGAATTCTATTACTTCATTCAAAGATGCTCAGTATGTTGTGCGCAATGGTCCGAGTAAAGTATGGGGAAAGGTCGTTGATCCTCCCATAAATAAGAACATGGCTGGTTTAGGATTCTCTACCAAGAATGGAAAAGGAGAAAGTTTTAAGTCCAAGTCCATTATGAGCAGCTATCATGATGTTTTCCGCAGCAGAGGCTACCTTCATCCAACTGTTTCTGGAGTTAATGCTATTGAGGATGATGAAAGAGATCAGGAAATGCCGAGTTATGTGACACCTGGAGTTAGAATCCAGAATTGGGTCACTTATGATGTTCCCTCTTGCATCCATGTCTCAAAGTAATTTGTTTTTTTTCCTTTGCAACAAGCTTTCATTCTGCCCAAGATGAAAGTTAATATTGTATGGGCTTATCTATTTGCAACAAGCTTTTATTTTTCTGTTTTTCATGGAAATTGGTAATCAGAAAAAACCTTTTTGAATAAAATATATTTGAAAGTAAATCTGCATAATCTCTTCATATATGTGTCCGTTTCTAAAAGCAATCACAAATCACATGTGCAGATTCATTAATAAACATGTTGAATACAATGACCCTGCACCCTCTCCCAACTTTGAACATCCTGTGTGTGGGACAGAAGGATAAGAATATGATGAGATTCTAGAAGAGGTTTTACGGTTGCTCGAGCACAAGAAAAATGCCATTCATTCGTATAAAGAGTCATTGGAAACAATAAATTTGGGTTCAAAAGAAGAGCCAGAGGAAGTCATGATTGGAGCATAATTGCATCTTGATGTAAAGAGCAGGTTCATTGAGCTATTGGAAGAGTATGTAGACATCTTTTCTTGGTTTTACCAAGATATGCCAGGTCTAGATACTGATATTGTGGAGCATCATTTGCCTTTGAAGCCAGAGTGCCCGCCCGTCAAGCAGAAGTTGAGAAGAACTCACCCTAATATGGCAGTAAAAATCAAAGAAGAAGTCTTAAAGAAGATTAATGCTGGGTTTCTTGTGACATCAGTGTATCCTCAATGGATAGCCAACGTTGTTCCCGTACCAAAGAAAGATGGAAAAGTCCACATGTGCGTAGGTTACAGAGATCTAAATAAAGCTAGTTCAAAAGATGATTTTCCATTTCTACATATTGATATGTTTGTTGATAGCACAGCAAAATTTATAGTGTTCTTATTTATGGACGGATTTTCCGGATATAATCAAATAAGAATCGATCCTGAGGACACGGAAAAAACAACGTTTATCACACCCTGGGGAACAATTTGAATACCTATTATACCGAGACCTTAAGTTTGAATTTTTGAGTTGCTCCGAGTAGTTTATATTAGCAGTCAACACCATCTTAAGCATAAACTACGTAGGGAGTTCATGAATATAAGTGGATGATCCCAAAATTTCTAAGTATATATGCCAATACTTAATAAAAATAGGGAATGTACCTATTAAGTTAGGTGACCCTCACTCGGTCACTTAACCCAACGGTTCTGGAACCTACAAAAGTTTTCATAAAAACTCGTTGTTAGTTGGTTCAGAGGTGTCTGGTTCTGAACTTGGTAGGGAAGACTATGGTTCGATCCCCTGCAACTTGCAATTGGTCAAATAAAGGGTTTACCAAACTCGTGTACCAGAACCCCATTGCTAAAGGATCAGAGTCACTAACCAACTACTCTACTATGTGCGTTTAACGATAAAGGGCTTAACATGATTGCGCTCGAATGAAAGTGGGTAAAGTAAAATGAAAGAAATAGGTTGAGATATAACAAAATGATTCAAACTAGTTTGGATTAAATAGGGAGTTTATAATTGTATTTATGGTTTTGTGTCACTATGATATCCTTAGTTTTAAATTCGAGTACCTATCATTCCAACAAAATGTCTCACAACCACGTACAATTTAAGTTATGTCGTGTATTTGTGTTGAACCCGCTTTTTTAGTTGAATTTCATAATGATTATTTGCTTGAGGACAAGCAAAGGTTCAAGTGTAGGGGAGTTGGATAAACCGAAATTTCATTGTATTTTCAACTTGACTAGCAAGGATTAGTTTACCGTTTTTATCCATTTATATCATTTTATGTTGGTAGTGTTTATGTATTTCGGGTGTTTTTCTCCTTAAGGCTTTCATGAGAAAATAAGAGGAATTGGCATAGAAAGAACAAGAAAACATGAAGAAACAGAAGAAAAGATGGAAATCTGCGCACAGAAGTTTGTGGCCCTCGCCACACCTTCTATGGCCCTCGCCACACATGTTTAGTCTGTGGCCCTTGCCACACTTCCAATGGCCACCGCCACAGATTCTTTTATATCAGGCCCATTTTCCTCCCACGTCATAGCCATGATTCCCTCATTCTTCCTATTTCCTCTCTGCAAGACCAGGGTGGCAAGATTATCTCCATGAAGGAAGTTGTTCCTAATATTTCTGGAGGGAGTTATGTAAATACATCAAGCTATAAAAAGAGGAAGAATATATAGTTACGAGGTCGAAGAATTTTCCATTGTTCAGAGCATTTTCCTTTCTAGTTTCTAAGTAGAAAAAATCACCACTTTAAAGTAATAACATTCCACATTATGGAGCTATTTCAACATTAGTTTAGATTTACAGTTTTAGTTTCTCTTCAATTTTTTACTTTCGGAAGCGAATCCCGCCGACAACTATGGAGGACCATGAAGAATAATTTTCAAGTTACAGTAAATTCTTTGTACTAGAGATTTATTCCTAGGTTTGTAATATAAGCTTTATTTATATTTTCACTTTGGAAATCGTGTTCTATTTGATGATTAATTACTGTAATATCATGTCTCTGTTATAAACTATGTCTGACTAATTCAATGAGATACTGGTATGTAACGTAATCTAACCGAAGGGATTCGAAAACCTTTTGGTATTAATATTTATAAAAAAATTTCCTTGTTTTTGTTTCTAATTTAATTAATAAAATAGTTTTTGTTACGAGAGTAAAAAACAACAAAAGTTAAAATCAATACAATGAGAGTTTGAGGTTTTGAATTGGATAGTAGTAGCTGAACATTGATTCTAAATACAATGAGAGCGCTTTACGATCCTCTGACACACAAACATCCAATGCTTAAAAGCTCATGGATGCTTAACATAACTTACAACCCAAAACAACCCTACTCTTCTATCAAGATAATATTAGAAGGACTCACAAATAAGGATTCTAAAACTCTAACAAAAGCACACGTAAATTCTACCTAAAATTAGGTATACACCACTCTATATATAACATTACTCTGGACTGGGTTGGGCTTCAAAATTGCCGCAGTGAGGCTGCACAAAGTCTGCAAAATCTTCTCCAAGAAAATAGGCCTTCAATAATTTGTTTCCTAAACTGTCTCCATATTTAGAAATATTTTATATCTTCAAAAACCACCATAGAATCTATGATTAGTCAATGTTGAACGTCATATAAGCTAACTAAATATTCCCTGAATATTCAGTAAATAACATATAAGCAGAAAAATAACTGTCAAATACTGCCGACACAATGTCATATCCTCCTGGTTGGGACATCCTATTCGACATGTTGAAAACTTCATGTTGGGACATCTTTTTCAACATGTTGCTGCCAAGTTGGTTTTACCAAAATGTATGTCAAACATAATTTTAGAGAAATAACAAATTTTACTCTTGAAATTTTTAAGCAAAAGTGGGTATTTTTAAGAGTAGCAATTGGATAAATCTGGGGAATATGTGGAGTTAGTAAAGCATGCATCGGATCAATGTTTCTAGTTGGGAAGCCTGAAAAATCTTAAAGTAGATGAGTAAAGATGGCTTGTTATTGAGTTGCAGGTTTTTAGAAGATGCATTCCTCAACCCCTTTTGATGCCAGGTTTTTAGAAGATGTTGCTCAGTAGCATTTATATGCTTTTGTTCGTGTGTTTAGTTTTTTCCCTGTCGATGGTCTATGTGGATGATTTTCGTAGTATCATGTTTCATTTAACCCACCAAAAAGATATATGTTTCTCTATTTTTAATTGTTTATTCATTTCTCATATTATGATTGGAATATTTTACACATAGGCTGTATGTTATCTTTATATGTTTGATTTGGTATATTTCAATTGTTTGAGGGTGATTCTCATGATATACTATTGCATATTGACAGAAAAAGATACAATGAGTGACTAGATGGAGTATTAATATAATTGACTATATCAAAAAAATCACTTGACACAACTTTAACTCTGAGTAAGTATAAATATAATATGACATCCACTTTGTTTTTCAATAATCTTTTTGTGTAAGTAAAACTATAATTTTCATGTCATTTTCACATAACAAGTTAAGTTTTACTTTTAACTCAATTATTTAGTACACAGAACCAATACCTTAATTAATGCACAAATAAAAAACAAGATCCTAATCAGTAAACAACAACAATAATCAAGTTTTTCCACAAGAAAATCCTTATTTAATACTCAAATAAGAGCTTAATTAGTACACAATAATAACCAAGCATTTTCCACTAAGTTGGAACTTAATTAGAACACAAACATGACCTAACTTAGTACACGGAAATTAAGACAATACAGTACACAAACACCGATTAATATATATGAATTAGTTTTGTTTTAACCATCCATCAAGGTAAATTTGGTTGGAGTTAAGGTTGGATTTTGCATTTTTGGTTCGGGTATCTTTCAACCATCCATCAAGGTAAACTTGGTTGGAGTTATGGTTGGATTTTGCATTTTCAGTTTGGGTATCTTTCAACCATCCATCAAGATAAACTTGGTTGGAGTTAGGGTTGAATTTTACATTTTTGGTTCGGGTATCTTTCAACCATCCATCAAGGTAAACTTGGTTTGAGTCAGGAGTAGATTTTTCTTTCTCATCTCGGATATCTTTCAGCCAACCATCAAGGTAAACTTGGTTAGATTCAGATATAGATTTTTCTTTTTCAGCTCGAATATCTTTCAACCATCCATCAAGGTAAACTTGGTTGGAGTCAGGGTTGGATTTTTTTTTCTCGGTATGAGTTTCTTTCAACCATCCATCAAGATAGACTTGGTTGGAGTTAGAGGTGGATTTCAATTTCTCAGCTCGAGTATCTTTCAACCATCCATCAAGGTAAACCTGGTTAGAGTAAGGGTTGACTTTGGATTTCTCAGTTTAAATATCCTTCAACCATTCATCAAGGTAAATTTGGTTGTAGTCAGGGTTGACTTTGACTTTCTCGGCCCTGGTATCTTTCAACCATCCATCTAGGTAAACTTGGTTGGAGTCATGGTTGGATTTGGCTTTCTCGACTCTGGTATCTTTCAACCATCCATCAAGGTAAACTTGATTGGAGTTAGGGGGGAGTTTTTGGTTCTTTAGTGGAGTGTTTTTTAGCCAACCATCAAGGTACGTCTGGTCAACCTGGTTCATATATCTTGCAAAGCTTCCATGGCCATTCTACAATACAATTGAATAAATAGATATTAATGAGTGAGAAATTAGTTACATGTTTTGGATGGTATATATGGTTAGAAAAACACTAGTGTGTTATGAGACACATTTTGTTGTATAATGGAAGATATATTCGTTATGTATATATAGCAGATAGATACATAATTTGAAACATAAATATAGCATGTAGAATATTTTTAATTTAGTTACAACAAAACAATGTAATTTTTTTAAATTGTATAGAACAACTCGATTCTTAGTATGTTGAATGCACAAAAAACAACTAATTAGAAGAATCTTAGAAGCATGCATTAAATTCTACATGTTTGTACAATTGCAAATAAAGATGAAAATGATATATTATGAAGATGTTGAATATTTTTTATTGTTTAACATGCATGCACAATTGCAAATAAAGATGAAATAAATTATTATTATTATTATGATGAATAAATGATGAAAAATAAAATTATAAAGGATAAAAGCATGCATGGAAAGTTAGTAACTCACAATCAACAATAGTAGGAGAAAAGAAATGAGAGACAAAATAAATCTAGGTGCCATTTCTTTTTGTTATGTTATTTTGCTGTGAAATATGCATTGGAGTGGAAGTGAGCTGACTTATATATAGGCAAGTAAAAAAGACTAGTAGTACAAATAACTAGGACATTAGTACTTTGTTTAGCAAAATAATTTTTTAAGTTTATATTTCATTTCTTATGAATATGACTTATGTTTTGGTCATTGCCATGAGTTGTATGAATCTAAAATTTACAACACAAACAACAATGAGTATGAATACAGGAAATAAGACAAAATAGTCTCATAAGAAACTCTTGAAAATAGTGTGTAGAGTTTGCATGCTTTAAGAAGTTAATGTAACAACTTAAGCCGACACAATCAATCACTTGTAGGGATTTGCATTAAATAATTGTAGTTGTCTTTTTAAGAGTCAAAAGAGAAGAATTTGGAATTCTAAGCAACATTTTTTTAATTTAATTTTAAATTGTCAAATTTTATTATAAATAAATGTTTATAACACAAAAGTTTGAAGTAGTACTAATAAAAGTATATATATGAAACATATATTACTAACAAACTCTGTAATGGCAGAGAATTGAAACAAAATAGTGTGCTAATAAAAGTAAATAGATGAAACATATTACTGAAAAATTCCAAGAAACACCCAAATATATGTTACATTTTAAAGTGGTTCGTGATAGACTAATACAACCAATCATTATTATAAATAATAAAAAGATTTTTTTTTGGTTTATTAACCAGTTGAGTGAATATATTCTCTACGGTGTACATTTTCTGCAGTGAAATCTGAACTATTAATTTAATTATATTTTATTTAACTTTAGAGGAAGTCATTCTAATAAATTGTGAAGATGTGAACTAAATTTGGTCCAGTGAGAAGTCCACGGAAGATAATCCTCCCCCACTAATTCATGTATTTGATCATTGTTATATATTAGATATATAATTGTTTCTTTTCTAATCGTTTTATTTTATTCTTGAATTCTCATAAAAAATATTATATAAATTTTAGAATTCAAAATTTTCAAAAATACTATCTAAATTTTAGAATTCAAATATTTAAGAAGGCTTTCAAAATCTTTTTCTTTTTCACTTTTTTTTTAAGTTGGTAGTTTTTGAACTCTTCAATCTGAATTAAATTTTATGTCTATAATTTTAATAAAGAAAACATTTTTCATAATTATTTTATAATTGAAATTAAAATATAATCTTTAATTGAAGAAAATAAAGTAAAATTCTCTTCAAATAGTTTTTGGTAATAATAAAAAAAATGTCTTTTGTTTGTTGTGAGTTATAAAATCAAAATTTAATTTGGATTATAAAATATAAAATTTGTAAAAAAAAAAAGTTTAAAGAGGACAAATATCACCATATATTTTAAACTAGTAAATCAATTACAATAAGTAATTTATTTATAGTTTTTCATATAATTTTTTTTCTACATCATTTTCAACCTTCACAACCTTATTTCAATCCAAAAAGAACCAAATCATACTTGGTTAGTTTCACGTGTCGCAGAAATTGTTCCATGCAGCTCGAGTAAAGGGAAACCAATTATGAAACGAGAATTTCTTTCTCTACGTTGTTGCCTTCTTGCAGGTATCTAGAAAAAAACTCAAAATATCTTAAGAACTCGGATGTGCATATCTGAACATGTTGTATTTATCAAGAAAATGTGTTCTTGCATGTGCATATCCGAAGCCATTTTATTTTGTCAAGAAAAGGTAACTTCGCATGTGCATATCCAAATCCACCCCATAATTTAACACTTCGGATTTGGATATGCACAAAACATAGAACTCATTTCTTTACAAACCCATAAACCTCATTCCAACTCATCTCCTCATTTCTACTCATCTCAAGTCATTTCAACTCATATCCAAAGTTACAAATATGTGTATGTTTTCTCTCTTTCCATTTGATTTAGTTTGCAATGCTATAATAATTTATTAGGTTAGTTAGAATCAAGGATATTGTGTAGGTTGATGTTAGAGTGGTTAAATGTTGATGTTTGTGTGACAAAAACACTAGAAGAAACACCACCACTACGAACAAACCTCGAAACATTCACGTGAATCTTCTTGCCATCAATGATAATGTTATCAATCTTCACTGCCAACATTCTAGCCTCCACAACTTCCTTGAACCTTGCAAAACTAAATATATTCTCCACTTTGTTTCTTTTGGATGGAATAACCACTTCCACAACATCATCCACCCAACCAAATAAATCATATATGTCATGAGCTCTGATTCTATAAGGGATTTCAGAAAAGAAAATGGTATAAATGTTGCCTTCCGCAGACCAAAATGAAACATGCCAAATCGAAAAGGTGTCCCAGTAAAGAACCACCCTCCTTATGCCTTTCCTTCTCACCTCCGTCCATACAGGATCGCCCGACATTATCTGAAAATTATAAAATCCACTGGTACCTTTAAGAGAGTTCTCTCTCTAGAAACTTTTTTTTGCAGTAATTTATTAAGGTGTTAGTTATGTAAATAAATTATTAATATGTTATATAATAATAATGGCATGATACACACCACTAAAACACAATGCCTAAAACCTAACCATTTGGATGGTGATGAAGAAACCTTGTATGTCCACATTGTTTTCCTTTCACTTCATTTCCGTGTTTATATAATTTACACAAACGTACACAATTGTATATTTGTGAGTTGGTGTGATATTGTTAGGATATGAGTCCAAGGCCCAAACAAATTCTTTTAAAAATTGTATTAATTAATTTATAAATAAAAACTCCATCTTGATTGATTGCAAGCAATTTAATTTTGCTGCACTCCAAGAGAGTAATAGTGTATTCTCTCCACATTTAATTACTTTTTATTTTTAACCATTAAATTGAAAAGAATTAATATGGAATAAGTTACTCTTGGAGTAAGAATTATTAAATGGGTTATGTTGACACTAAAATCTTATATACCGTATTATTTTTCAAGCCATTTAAACTGTGGCACAAAAAAACAAATTATTAAAAAAACAAAGTTGTGTATAATTGTATCTATATACGGTGTGATTGTTAATTTTTGAACAATCATAGGTTGGAAATACTATTCAAAAGGAACGCAAATGATATAGCTACTACTGAAGAAGAACACAAATGATATAGCTAGTAGACAACTAAATTAGAAACATGTTAAATTGTTTAACTGATGTAATATATAGCCACACAAACTTGTAGGTAATACAATTTCAATTCTCTTCTACGTATAATATTTTAACACTTGATGTAGACAGTGTTGTGCTTGGGCTCCCTTTCTATCTAGAGAAATATCTAAATATTAATAGTTTAGGTTTGAGAAAAATAGGGAGAAAATAATAATTCAAAAGAAAAAAAAATGACAAAAACTCATTCCAGTTTTTCCAAACAAGTATGAATAATTAAATCAACGATCTCCTATTACTTCACCGTCGGATCAAACTGAAATTTAGTGGACATGTTTGCAATACATGTATCTACTTTTTGACTGTTCAGAGTTTCAAAACAAATTATGAGTTGAGAGATATCTGCTTCGCATTGAAGCTACAAATTTGAGTAATTTTTAGCTTTTTGATTCTTATTTGTAAGCTAGTTTTCTTTGTTGTTCGTGGTTTTTATCACTATTTCATAAATCACTTTAAGACTCTCTTGAATCCTCAATTAATTGTAGTGGAGCTATTTCTTTGTCTTGATGACTTGTGGTTTTTTAATCTCGTATTTAGGGGTTTACGACGTTAAAAATTACCACCCACTCGCATTTCACTTTCCAAATTCATTTCACCCTTTCAATTCCTCGAATCGCTTTGTATATCATACTTCTCCGCTTATATTGACCCGAAGCATAGTAAACCCTACTGTATAAATTAAATATTGGCTTTGATGCAATTAAATAAAATTAATGTATTGGGTTAGAGAGTGTTACCTCATTTAAATTTACCAATTATGAATATATAAAATGAAAGAAAAAGCTAAAACGTACGAAATATAATTTGTCACAATCACGCGAATGACTTTTCCAATTAAGTCTCTCTTGATTTTAAGTGTTTCTTATATAGTGCTATTTTTTAACTTATATTAGTACAACTTGTATTACTTATACAAGTTTTCTCTTGTCCATATTTGTATTCCTCATCTCACGAGCTTCCTAAAAAATTCGTTAGATGTTTGTTTCAATGGGTTTCAAAAAGTTTCCATGTTCTATTTTCTGGTGAATTTCCTCTGACTATTACTCAGTGTCATGTGTTACTATTAATCTGATTTTGTTTTTCTATTTTTTTATCTATTTTTAGTGGTGACTAAATGTTCAAGTTATTAGAACAAGTTATAGTCTGGTGTTCGGAT